TTAAAGGGGTACTTGGACGTAATGTATGGTCGTTTTGAAAAACCTGCAATATTACGTCTTAGCCGCTGAAACTTTCTCAACATAAAGATAAATAAACAAGAAATCACTCTGTAAAGTTTCATTTCGATATTTCAATGGGAAGTATGACATATTTACGATTTAGTTTTCGTCCGCCATTATTTTCTCTGATCATCGATTTGGCTCAGGAGAATGGGTCTAGTTGGACCAATGACGTCATAGCTCCAACACATAGGGAATTAACGAGGCAAATACTTACTAGAAACAAGACTTTATCGTTAAAATGTTGTGGCGTTGCTTAGTTTTGGGCTGTAGAAAGATAATCAATCTCAAGACAGGACTATCAGGGCACAAATCACCTAGTAACAAGTCTGATTTGGAAAAGTGGAAGCGATTAATGTGCGATTGCACCGCGCCAATTTCAACGGATTCTTTGGTGTTTGATCGAAAGAGTCGAAAGTTTTCTTACTTTGACGGGGATATTAAAGACATAAATTGGAAAAGGGTTTGATCCCAACAATCTGGGGCTATGAAGAGACAGCCACAATAGGCAGTGAACACAGTCATAGAAGTTATAGCTTGACATTTGTTGACTAACTCGATCATCAATAAATTTATTATGTACACATAATCATATGAGGAATTAGCTGATCCCATTACTTACATGCTTTTCTTATAATAATAACTATAATCGAAGAATAAAAATTAATAAACAGAGCAACTATTCTCAATAATTTCAATATAATCTTGATTCTTTAGATTCTTCATCTTACGATTTTTACAAGCTTATAACTTTATGAAATTTAATCCAATAGATAGGCTGATTATTTTGATCAGTTCATTATCAATTTGTCACCGGCCAAATATATTCTTTTATTTCATTTGAGGGATACTAAGTGAAATGTCTGCACTATAATATGATGTAGTATTATATAGTTTATCTGTTTGCTAGATGTAAATCATTGAAGTATTTCTTGTAACAGGTGATGTTATCTTATGCTGCCTTTCTTTCATGCATTTTCTATTAACAAATGAATAGAAATATAAGACTAAAATCATACACTTCGTTTTTGTTATTTATAACATGACAATATTAGCAGCTTTACATTTCAATTTCATGAACATAAGGAGTCTAGAAAGGACAATACAGGTCAAACCAAGCCAAACACATTGTAAATACAAATATGGWRAKGRGATCTGTTAAAGGATTGCCACAGAATTGTGGTAATATTTTTCTATTACAATTAAACATTTTAGAGTGATTTTCATTAACCCGTGAAATACACTTCAGCATATTTCACTTTATTACACTTTGTCTCTGAACTTTTGTTTTCTATTAGAGTGGTTCTCATTAACCCGTGAAACAAAGTGTAATAGTCAAAGTGTAATAAAGTGTAATAGGCGAGAAATATAATAGAAAACAAAAGAGACAAAGCGTAATAAAGTGTAATATGCTAAAGTGTATTTCACGGGTTAATGAAAACCACTCCAATGTTAAATTAAAATTAAGTGTGCATATGGCAACAAAACACAACTTTTGTTTACTAAATGGATTATGTGAAATAAAACAACCATGGTTAAAACAGCAAGAGATGCAATGAGCTACAAGCAAATACACATATGAACCAAGCATACTTGAGCATGAGAAAAAACGCCATTTGCACATATACACACAAAGACTAACATTAGCAAACACAAATGTTCCTCCAACATGCACCAGGTATGTTTTTTTTAATATTGCAGCTGAATAATTGAAGTGATAGTATTGTAATTGTGCACGTATGGATGTACTGACACCACTTAACTAAAGTACATTACAATTACATGTAAGTTTCAAACTTTGGACAATGTCTGGTTAATAAAAATAGTATGATTTGATGAGTGTATTTAACTATAAGGTTAATTATATCTTTAATCTCACTTATTACTAACATTAATATATATTTGATCTCATTTTTATGGTTGACCACAATCACTTACCGTGAGTCGTCGATTTTATGTTCTCAACGCTTTGTAGATTCGTCCTCGGTACAAAGGCCAATGGATTCAACCTCCAAAGTCTTTTATCAATCGTATCTTTATGAGCTAAAGCCTATCATTCGTTCAAATGAATCCGACCTTCGCATTGAGTCTGTCAAGAAGCATTTGCTCTTCTTCTTGACCCTCTTTCGCTTCTACTACTAGCCA